TTATAGTTACTGATAACCTAAAAGTGTCAATTTTTATAATTCATTCTAGTTATTATCAAATCTTCAACTGAAAATTCAAAAGAAGACTTGGATCCCAGTATTTACTTTTCAGATTCAGTTAATAGCGGTCTTGACGCACACGTGGATCTGATCAACACTTTTAAAATTTAAAATACTCCAAAAACTATTGGATTCAATTTAAAAAAAATATTTATCATTTATTTTAAACACAGAAATGCAGAATAATTTTGAAAATATAAATAATAACAAACTTTAGAGATACCACATGGACTTGGAGTCACAAGAAAAAAAGTTTTCAACTCGAATGTATTCATGAAATAGCAATGCTGATGAGTGGGTATCAATGAAATTTAATTAAACCGCAATATTATCTGCAGATATTCGAAGGAGAATATACTAGTTGGAGACACCCCACCGGGATGCAAGAGACAATATTGAGTAATGCAGAGATGATATAACGAAATATGATTAGATAGAATAGGATTTAGACAACTCACCAACAACAGAGAGCAGTTGGTCTTCAACGTGGACGTTGACTGTCTTGAAGAAAGCACAAGAGTCAAATAAAATAGCACAGTTGTCAAAATGATCTGTGAAAGCACAGCTGTGCCGCTCGAGTGGTCGGTGTAGACTGCAGAAAAGCCCGCAGATTCTATCACAGACCTAGGGGAGACTGCATGACATCATCACCAGCCAATCCTTGATGAGAATTAAATCGCATGCGCCAGCTACCCCTCAAGTAAGAGGGCGATATATCGCAATCGATTGTCGACGAGAAGACTTCGAGTTGCACCCTGGTGGTGAATTGACGTAATCGCTTCAAGAGCCGGCGGGAAATATTCTCCCTCTCTATTACTATTGCTGATGGCCCTTTCAATGCTTTATTAATTGATAATTTCATTATGATGAGACACTAAATTGTTTTATATTTCATTTCAATCAGCCACTTTGTCTACTTATTTATTTATTGTTTACGAAAAAATTAAATTTTTAATTGAGTTTTATTTTTAACAAGTTTTCCAATTATTACGAAAGCTCTTCTAATATCTCAGTCAATTATTCATTAAATGATTTATCGGCTCGTGATAAAATTTTCATTAAATATTTGCGATGCCTATCATTACTTGAGTTATTGAATTATATATTATTATGTAAGAAATGTTAATAGAATTAAAAAAAAAATCTAATTGAAGTAATTAAAATATTAATGAACGGTCTTTCGATACTGTTTTTATTTTTTTAATGATATATTTTTCAAGTCAATGAGATCGTATGTTTACTCCACGTTATATATCTTTGTCTCCCTGGTTTCCACCTTTACATGAAATATTCACGTAGACACGAGAGATAAACGTACGAGGAGAATGATACGATAGGAATAAACTCTAAAGAGTAAAAAGTGCGTCGAAACCTAATTGAAGAGTCTCAATTCCGTTGAGCGCAATTTCTCACATTTAGTCTGATTAATTATTGACTCTCGCTACTACAAAGGCTTCCAAAAGTCTTTCAAATTGGAATTATTAATTTTTCAACATTGTCTTATTCAATTTTCTTCTTCATCTAATTTTCCCTTTGATAGAAACATTTTTTAATCAATAAATATTCGGTAATTATTTTTGAGAGGAGTGTAAATACGTTAATAATGTGTTGTTGGCAGGAAATAATACATCAATCAGCAAACTTTTAGCATCAAGGAGTCCTCAAAAAATCTACACAATAGCTTGATAAAGTTTCTGAAGGCTTTTAAACCAATGAATATATTATTGTGAATGAAATTGAATATTTTATACTCTAAAACAAGTTGCTCGTCAAGGAAACTAGGGAAAGTTTGGTGAAAAATTAGCTCAGCCACTATACACAACTCAACTTTTTTTTTATTCTCTTCTTTCTGCGTGAACCAACTTGGCAAAATTTTCAGCCTATAGTCTTTGTGTTCGTACTCACAAGTGTATGATAATTCTACTACTAGACTGCAACATCTTGTAACAACGAAGTTTACAAGGATAAAAGTATCATAGAAAAAGAAAGAGGACACTTTTCAGCGACAAAATCAGAATGAAAGCCATAGAGTTTTCACGGAAAGACTTGAAAACTCTGCAGTATCTAGTTTGTTCATAAGACATTTTTCGTTGAAGTAAAAACTTTAGTTACATTTTGCAAAAAAGACGTTAATTTTATTCAGCAAAATAAAAAATGAGTAACATGAAAGGACGTTGCATTTTTAAACTCCTAAGCAAGTCATGACTTGGCTGTCGTGAATCGAGAGAATCCAAGAAGGGACGAAACCACAAGCAAAATACGACTGTCTCTAGAGAAGCTACTGCAGATTATTTTGTTTACGTATACATAGACTTGAAGACGATGTAAGCATGCAGATATGTTTGTATACTCTCGTAAATAAAAAATAAAAAATAGCACTTTTCAGGAAAAGTTGACTGAGTTTTATGATAAAACCACAATACTTTCTAACATAGAAACTCTTTGAATTATACAAAAACATATTTTAAACCTCAACAAAAGGTGTACTATTTAGATAGAACAATAGATGAAATTATAGTCTTCTGGCAAGTGTTTCATACTTTTCTACTTTACACTGATTTCTGCTTAGGTTCACAACTTCCGACATCTTTTTATTGCTACCTCAGTAGACTGCGTTTGAGTTATAGCTAAATTATGCGGCATATTGCGGAGCCACAAGTCTGGTTGTCTACCTACTTCAGAAAAAAGCTCATGGAAACTTGAAGATTCGAAGAGTCCGGAAAGGATTCTTTGGCGACAAGTAGAGTCAGAGGGGTGTTTCCCTCGACTACGCCAATCTCCAATACGACACACACTTATTGTAAATCGGCTTTAGAAAAAAAATAACAAATTTGAAGAAATCAATCTCCCCCAACTGATCTATATACGATTGTTTTTGATACTTCAGTAAGACTGATTATTTGTTTGGCTTTGAAATTCATCAAAGTGAATTTTTTCTTCTGAAAAAAGATAAAATACCATTACTAACGATGCTCCATTTGAGGCTAATCATTCTGAGCCAGTAATTAAAAATCTAGAACCTGAGAAAAAATGTAGAGTAATTATTTAAATAAATGATAGAAGTCAGGAAAAAATTTCATTATCACCATATCAATTAGACGTCAACATTTCTGGATGTTGATAAAGCTTCAGGATTAAATATTCGAAAAAGTCAATCCAAAGTCCAGAAGTTGAAAATAATTAGAAGTAACTAAAAAAATAAATGACAGAAGCCAAGAAGAAATTCCATTATCACCACATCAATTTGCTTTGGAATGAAAAATGAAGCAACCTAAAAAAATGATTGAACGTTAGTCCCGGATACTCATGTGCTATATATAGATAGGGATGTAGTGTCGCAGTGGGTTAAAAATTGATTATTGATGTTTTTTTACACTAGCTTAGTTTTAGCTATTCTCTTTTACCTTCATCGAATCTCATTTAACCATCTATCAGCTTTAAGAGACTTCCTATCTTCTATTTTTTTAATTTTTTCGTTTTTCCTACGACTAACACATCAATAGCAGTAATAAAACAAGCTCGATAGTTTCGATAGATTTTTTTTCCAAGTAGTAGCATAAATATAGTGGCGTTAAAACCCCTTTATGACTGGCTCTAGGCGCTTATATTAATTTATATCTCCACCAGAATCCACAGACACTTTCAATAATTTTACTAGCCTGCTTGTAGCGCTAGAGCACAAGCTGGGGACGCTAGTTATGCATGCACCAGTGGATACCATACGAGCATGGCGAAGTGTTTGCATACTCGTCATCATACAGAAGGGACGACAGTTAGTGTTACCTACATGCATGACGATAGCTTGTCAGCATCTTGCCAGCAGAATCTCTAAGTAAATTATTCATGAAATTAACATTTGCTTAAATGAAAAAATACAACATGACAACTTTTTTAATTCAACGATGGTCTTTTGTGTAATCTATATGATGCAGAGAATAAAAACGTTCATATGTGGAAGTACAAAATAGTAGTGAAATAGAGAGGATTGGTGTTGCAGAGGATCTACTTCCTTCGTCTCCATCACATTTGCATAAGTGACTTATGGTCAGTAAGCATTATCTTCAAACTATGAACAGCATGCACTATCTTTGATGTGACACTTCCATGGGGGGATTGAAACACTCACGAGAGTCATCTCTAGATAGTATATCACCTGGGTATTCGGTTTCACTTTCATACTCTTGAATCGAATTTTTATCACTGTCAGAAGTGATGCCAGACATTATCTGATTTTTCTAGACGTTTATGGCTGATTATTTTTTAGCTTTGTGGTATTCTGAAGTGAAGAGTATTGATAAGAAAACGTAAAATGCATTTGAGATTGATAAATCATTTTATAAAAAAACAGGAATATTTTTTTTATTTTCAATTTTAATGATAAAAATAAATTCCAAAACTTTAGCAAATTTTATCGGCAATCAATATTTCATGAGTCAAACTTGGATTAAAGTATTGTTGAGATATTTATTGTTTTTTCCAATAAGTATCTCAACAATTTTTAAAAAAAAAATTCCCGTCGTGATTTATATTTATTATTAAATCCAAAATCAATAGTCAAAATCGTGTTTCAAAGATACTTGAATGTTAAAAGAATTGAATTGTAGGATAATTTTTATTTTTGTAAGTAATTTAGATTTCAGCTAAAATAAATGTTAAGGGAAGCAGAAATTTTTTTATATGTATATTTGGCTAAAATAATCCAGGATTACGGATAAAAATAAATGTAGAGAAAAGAGATTCGTTTTATAAAATACGAATAATGCATAAAAAATGAAGATACTGAGCACTTTTTTTTTGTTTGATAATATTGTTACGTTATAACATCTGTTATACACACATGCGAAATGATCTATTCGACATCAGCAATGTAAACAGCCACGTCACGACCAACAGTTTTATCAGATAAAGTCTTGTTATCAGTCTTCGCAGATATGGTTTCGGAAATGCTTCGACTTTGACATACGACAAGTAAAATTGTAAGCGAGCAGGAACGTGGAGTTTTTTTACACGAGTAGAATATTTAAATATTCTTTCCTGAAAACTTCACTTTGTTGACTAGTCAAAATATTCAAGGTAATAAAAATAAAAATTCTACTTCCAAAAATATTCCTTTAAAACCAAGTAGTAAATAAGAAAAAAGAAAATAGCTTACACTTGACCTTATTTCGAAGATAAAAGGGTAGCAAGCATGGTAAGTACGAGATAATTTTGATCTAAACGACTAAACTAGCGGAAAATTGTTGTAGGTCATGGAAGGTCTTTATCCAAGTCTTCAAGAAAAGTTCAAGAGTGAAGGTATTTGTCCAATTTGTATGATGACTATGGAGTCAACTCTCAAGTACTCATGCATGAATGGCCATGCAGTTTGTCATCGGTGTAAGCCTTACTATTTTGCCTGTCCTACATGTCAATCATCTCTGGATGTAGAAATTCATCCATCTGAAATGGGTCAATATCAAATGCCACCAGCTATGCATTATATGCCACACCCGTATCCGCCATATCCTCCAAGGTTTGTTGAAAGTGTTATCCATCATATCAATACTCTACTAGTCTTCTCAGATATATATTCGAAACCATTTCTGAGTTTCTATTTCTATTGTAGTCACACTAAATTTTTATTAATTTTCAGCACCTTTCCATCAGCTCCGTTTATTGAAGGTGAACGTGAACACCGGTGGTGTCCATCACCACCTACAGAACATCAAGAACTTTTTCCCTGCAGATATTCTCATCTTGGCTGTTATGCCAAAGTTCCAGAATACCTTCGAGAACTGCATGAGTCACGTTGTCAGCTGCGTCCTAATCTAGAAGATGAACATCTTCCCACTGATTTATCAACCGACGAAGGTGCTTTAGAAAACTGTAAATATAGCGTAGTTGGCTGCAACGTTAGACTTCCTGAATGGAGGAAACTTGTACATGAAGAAATCTGTATATACAAAGACCGACTAGAAGCTTTGGAAAGTGTCCAACACAATCTAGGTTCTCTAAGCTTTGACGATGTAGATCCTGAAGAGAAAGTAGAATGCAAGTTTTATAGATATGGCTGCATGGTGAAAATGCCAAGACGTCGGAAGCACCTGCATGAACAAAAGTGTAATTATCAAAAGCACTATCGTGAAGAAGATTTTGGCGAAACAATATCACATAATACTGAATACGAAGCTGATCCAGATGAGAAAGTAGCTTGTCGTTGGTCCGATTATGGATGTCAAGTTCAACCAAGACGATGTAGGAAGGAGAATCATGAAGAGAAATGTAATTATCGCAGAGAAAAATGTACTTTTGCTTATAATGGGTGTTTTGAAATGGTTGAACCATGTAAAAAACATCTCCATGAATCATCTTGCTCATATAATTATTGAAAAAAGTATGCTTGAAAATTTAATTTAAATAATGCAGTAATCTAATTATAAAAAAAAGAAAGTAAAAAATGAAGATAAAATATTTCAGTCTACATTTTTCAATAATAAATAAATCAATTCGTTTAAAAATTTATTTTTGCTTTTTGGCTTGATAACAAAAGATTATAATTTATCATACGTTGATAAATAAAATTCATTTATTTAAAAGCCTGGTTGAAGATGAATTAAAAAACATTTTATTCGTTAGCTTTTAGTGAATGTTATTGTTTAATGAATAAAATGTATGGTTGTAAAAACTTTTTTTAAAAAAATAATTGTTTGATACTTTCATGAAAATTAATAATAAAACAAGCGATAATTCGTATAAATGTACATTTATTTTACAACCAAGCATAAAAAACTTCAAATGTTATGGGAAACACAAATGAACCACCGGAGAGAAGACCCAAGGCAATTTCGTGAGCACCAACACGCGAAAGGTCATATATAGTAGCTGTGAGAAATGGATAGATCTAGAGAAAAAAGTCCGAGAAGTAGCAAAAAAATGATTGCACCTCAGTGCTGTTTGGCTGGTTATATGTTTTCATTGAGAATCCTTAAGAGCTGTCTGACACGAACCAAGTACAGTAGAAGTTTTTACTTATTTTCAGAGTAAATACACAAGGCATTTTGTTGGACTGAACTTATCAATTATAACAAATTTCGATAAAAATACAATACATTGGAGGCTTCTGTTCAAGTAAAGTTCAAAGATGGATTTGAGAAACGTAAGATATGAAATTGGATAAAAAAAATTAATTCAAATTTGTATTGGAGTGAATATTCCAATCAAAGCATCATGCAAAAGTGGATCAAGGTCGAGAGCAATAGTCTCTTTAAGACAGAAAGCACGTTCTTAATCCTGTGGACGCATAACAAGAATACTTACAAAGACGATTCTCTATTGATTTTGCTATTCATATAGACATAATGTTTCTATGTTAATTGACTATTCTGTTGCGTCGTTGAGAAGTCTGAATTTTTTTAATACCTTCAATATTTATCACCAAATCCTACATAACAAGAAAAAACATATTACTCTAATTATTTAAAAACATAATTTACTTATAAACGATCATGATGTTGATGAGATAGATGAAATTAAGTTATTTGTAGAACCTGAGAAAATTCAGCTATAAATGTTGGGTTAAAAATTTCCTGAATGAGCATTTAAGGACCAATTCATCCAATAAAAAAGGGAGAAAAAGATTGACGGAATAATTATGAGCATAATAACTAAATCGAAGAAAAAGATAGAATAGATGTGTGCTTAGAAATGAAATACCCTACACCTGGTATCTAATGGTACCTCCAGCGCCCCTTCACATCTCAAACGACGGTTAAACGACGGCTGTAGCGTTATATGGCCCATTTGTAAGGTTGATGTGGGCAAAAGTTGGGATGAAAACGATTCAAGGGGCGAGATTAGCTTCAATTTTTTTCGCTTCCTTTATATCTGTGTAGCTTTGAACAAAATGGATGAATATGTCTACGGATTTGACTGCTCGGAGTTCTTTGATATTGCGGAGACTTTAATTTCATCAATCAGCCTCGTCCAAACTCATAATTGAAAATAATTGAATATCCTTTTACAGAAGTTGAACTAAAATCTTGCATAATTTATTTGATTATAATCTTATACAAAAGTAAAGCAAGGGTCGAGTAGATGTATTGATTCTATTCAGATTTGAAAGGAAGAATCTTCTCTTAAAAAGGTTGGCTTGAGAGAAAACCTAGATGTATGTTTTGGGATTGAATAAATATTTCATGGATCAACAACTGAGGAGGCTTCGTCTAGCTATTGTCTGAAAGTGGCATTTGAGGAAGAATATCAATACCTTCATCATGAATATGGAAGCAAAATATTATATTTCAGCTTAGGCAGACCAAGGTGTTGGTAAAAGTATACTTATTCATTAATACTCATGATTCATTCAGACGATAATAAGTTTTATCAACTTTAAGCTAAAATTTTTATTAAAAATCAATAAAGTTTATTGAGAAGAATAAAAAACATCCAAAGGAGGAAACTTCTTATCTTTAGAATTTGACGATTTCTACTTCCTTAGAATCAATTATAGAAGAATATTAATGACTATGATTCATTGAATAAAGCTCTCCATTCACTGGAAAGATATTCAATTACTACTCAGTATTATCAGTAATTTTATCTTTTGGAAAAGCAGTAATTCAATTAATTCTTACACTGTAAAATAAATTATCCTATGGACTTTCATCACTATGATGAAAGTTAGCATTTTACAAGGTCCCCCTGTTTAAATCGGAGTAGATTTTAAATGTTTAGATATGCAAGGTGAAACAGAACGTTACTGAGAATAAGCTAAAGAGAGAAGACAATGCTCGGAAAGTGAATTGCACCCATGGGGAACCTACAATACAAACTCGAAGGGTACCAGCAACAGAAGTCAACCCGACTTTAATTAAGACACAGGTGTCGGTTGGTTCGTTGGTACAAAGTTTTTCCTTTTGAATTAATACAAATGCTCTGATAAATATTTTAAGTCTTTTGTAAATGAAATTGAACTTGCTCGTGCATTTGACTGATATCAAAAATTGCAGCAAATCTCATTATATCTCAAGAATATTGCACTACTGAAATTCACAGTTGAATTTATTTTTTTCTGAATAAAATACTAGATTTCAAGTATAAAGGTGTGGTGCGAGTCCACTATCTCAAGCAGTTATGGTGATTTAAACCTAGACCCTATCCTCTATAGACATGAAAGACCCATCGTTCACCAGATATTCCACGGAAATCTGAGAAAATTCTAGAAAAGAATATCCACATGGATAAAAGCCGTCGTTGACTATTCCGTCATCTGGAGATGTGAATTTTAAATGTCATGAGAGTTATGTTTTGAATAGAAAGCATCGATCAAGCCCAACCAGAGACTGTGTCGCCATGGTTGATATCATCCTTGACACTGATAGACCCTACTTCACCAAATCCATACACTGCACATTTGCGATAAACAGCCTTCCTGCATAAGGATAAACAGTCCCATTGTATGTTGGTGGATTAGAGCTTAGGGTGTTCTCGATTATTGGTGTCGATGAACAAAGAAGTCCTTGACGACTATCTGAAAGAGGAATTTAATTAATTAATACGATTCTACAGACACTATCTAATTCATTTTTGCCTAGCAGAGAGATACCCTACTACAAAATCTACTTGGAAAATGTTTTCTTCATTAAAAAGAATCTTTTTAACACAAAGGAAGACTTTAATTTCCTGAATTGAACAATCTAAGTTGAATTTAGATTGAAAAAGTGTAGGACATTGAACCCATATCATACACCCAGGTGACAAAAAAAATATTTGTCAAACAACTTAATATTAATTACACGCAACTTAAGAGGACACGAAACATCATATTAATTGGTATCGTGGAAGATAAACTATCTTGAGTGTCAGTTAATGTATCAAGTGACATGGAGATGGATCCTATTGCTCTGCTTGACCACGTAACATGACTCTTGCGATACATTCACGTCACTTACCACTGATTTCCCTGAATAAGCTCAATCACACTAAAATTATGATCAATACTCGAGACTGATCAGATTATCAAGCATCATTGTAATGATTGTAATGACCATGTTCGTGATAGTCTTTTTACATGTTTCATGTAAGTATAATATTAAGTAATACATGTTGACGTTTCCATCAAGCTTGGAAGGGGCTGATTCAACGAAGTATGAAAGCCGCTTTCCACGCTAACACTGAGCTCTTAGCGATGTGTTTCTCTACTCGCTACCACTCATCGATGAATATATAAAGTGTGTGCTGTATCCCAGGCGCCAGATTACACTTCTCTCACATAAATACGTCTCTCTTGAACGAAATGGCTTTAGTTCAACTCCAGGACGGACGTGTTGGTACACGTGAAGTTCATAAATCTTGATGAGAATACTGTGGGAAACGCATTTTATCGTTTTTCATTTTTCTGTTATGCATGATTCTTTCATTTTAGATATGAATCTGTAAAGCTTTTTTAAATAGATAACATTAATAAGTCACAATTCAATTTGAAATTTTTATTATCATTTTAAAATTTTTTATTTCATGAAAATAAATCCTTCATTGGAGCTTTCCATCTTTTTTTTTATTATTCGCAAACATAAAGAAAAGAAATTCTTATTTTGAATGAAAGTTTGAAAATCTTATTAGTTATTAAGAAAAAAAATGTATTTTTTTAAAGATGTATAATCTTTTTATAAAAAAATGGAGTATAACAAAGAAACCTTACTCTTCAAAGAATATTTGTAATGCAAATATCTTAAGGCCAGTTAGTAAGATTAAGCTTAAAGTTGGCACGTGGGAAAAATGAAGAGGCTGCACCAAAATAACTAAGTATCGTTCGTTCTGCTTTTTACTTTTAAGCCATTTAAATTCCGAACTCGACTCAAGAAGCTCAGTCACGTTCATGGCGTTTGGTACTCCAATCTTCACCAAAGAAAAACTAATTTCCCCCATTCTAATTACATCGCTCTGAGTCAATCATCAAACTGAACACATTCATCGAATTTTTATGATTTAAAAATTGTTACGTTTCATGTTTGACATATTTTATAAAAAAAAATTAATGCAATCATAATTAAGACGAAATAGCATTATCAAACGAGTTGTCAAATTGCAAGATCAAAGAAATTATTTCCCAATAACGGAAATGCAACAGGGCACTGCACAGTCGTCCAATTAACAGTCCTTTGTCAAATAGAACAGTGACATTAAACAATGCACGTCGCCCTTCAATGAAAACAAAAGCATTCTCGCCGAATAGACAAAATAAATCAAGCGTAGGGGTAGGGTATACAGTACTGATGGTGAGACAACGATAAATAATTGAATACACACCATAAAACATTGAACTAATGAATCTGAAATTGAGAGTAAATAAAAAATATCTCTTTCGTTGATAAAAATAACCTGAAAATTCTAATGTATTCTATGTCAGCGTAATAAATTGCGAATGTATTAAAATATTCTAAAAATTGTGAAAGAAGAAAGAAATTTAAAACAA